TTCATTCTAGTTAAGTTACTTACTAAAATACCATGTTCACTATCAAAACAGTCAGTGTGTGTGTGAGTGTGTACGAACTTAATACATGCAAATAAATTATCAGCTGATATTATGTATAAACATACATTAAAGTTTACTAATTATTTACTTCGTTCGAATGAAAAAGCACACGGGAATAAGGCCAACATCAATGTGAACAGGAAACACAAACATACAATAAACAGTGTACATTTTGAACGTAGTAAAGAAACCATCCATTGGAACATGAATAAACCAGACAAAATAATGAAACTATTATGAATAATGTTGAATGTATGATAACTATAGTTGAATTAGGCATCATTTATTGTTGTTTTATTACTTACCAAATTTTTCTATAGATGATTTCACATTCAATCGTGTGTTTTTGTTTAGTTCATTTTCTTTCGTATTCATTCAATGTGATTTTTGTTTACCTGATTTGAATGAATTGAGAATAATAGAACCGTAGGCCTTGGGTTGGAATCCCGTGTGTGGGATTGTATATGCTCATTGCTGAGGAGTTCCACAATAGGATATTGTTTAATTTCATGGGAATCATGAATCCATCGATGTTAGACCACCAATGAAAACCTAGAAGCACTGGATGACCATTTCGTTCTAATATGGGACTTCTCAGCAGTGAGCATCCACGATCGCTCACACGAGAAACGAACTCGGCACTATTGATCTCTCGTCAGAACTCTTAGCCTCTAGACCACTGAGTCAGAATTCAACAGTGTTAATGTCTTACATCAAACAATCCACGATGTCGCGCGACCATCTTCCATTGTCTTCGATTCGTAACTACTTCAAACATGACACGGTTGAACTCCACTGGTCATGGCTTCTTGACAGAACTCCGAGAATTCCCTCTTGAAGGTAATCACTACGGAGCACATAATAAGCTTTGCTTAATAGAGATAAGTTAAATACAACAATGCCACTGAATTATTTCTCTGTATATTTAGCTTGGTATTTGCATTTTGTATAATGTGATTAGCTTTCCTAATTTTCACATCATAATACCTTGTTTACATCATCGAACTTCCAATCTAATCAATTTCAAGTGTGATTTTATCTCTCTGTCATTGTGTCCCCGGAAGTTTCTCTTTAAATCATTGTGTCAAATTGTTGTTGACAATCATAACTTTAGAATTAATGGCATTTTGTTACTCAGTCATACAACATTGATGACGTAACTATGATTACTGTCGATGTCAGCCACTATTATTAATCGTACTCAGAATGAAATGTCGAATTCTATGCTACTCATTTGTAATTCTGATTAAACTTACATATGTAAATACACATGTCATTTTAAAGGACTGTTAATGTGTTGGTTGACATTTTCGTTGCAAAACAAAATAACACTATGCTACATTTATGCTTACAATACTTTTAACTGAAGGCAATATCAAGTAGTCCGCACAAGATGTACATATCTCAGTAGGGTTTTAGGCAGCCAGCACGAAGATGAAGTGAACTTTACATGGTTTCACAAACTAATGGACATTTGGATTCAGTAGCTGAGTGGACAACTCGATAGAGATTCAATCCAGCAGCATTGGGTTCGAATCTCATAGTAGACAACCACATTGAGATGTGACAGGTACATTCAGCTGACAAGTCCCAAACAAGACGAAACGTTTAGAAATCATTTCATTTAAAATGGTTTAAGGATCTAATACAATATAGGCTATCCATTCCAGCCATTATTATTATTACTATCAAAACAAAGAATGAATTAATTCATTTGGACTTTCAATGAATCCAAGGTGAATGCTCGCTTTCAGTAAAACAATAATTTATTATTCATTGATTCATTTATTGTGATTTGTTTTGATTCATTGAATTGTTATTCAACGATATGATGCCAATTGGATTAATTCTGTTGAATATTTGTTTCATTTATTCAAATGATGATTGTTCATTGTAATAGAATTCTGTTATTAATAAACACTGAATATATTTGTTATATAGTTGAATGAACCTTAGATCTGTATTCATAAACCTCTGTCTGTTTTATGAGTGTGGATCAGTATTGTTGAAGTGTTGGTATATGATTAAATGAATTGGAAATATAATTTAAATTCTTCTAAGAGTCTTTATTGAAGAAATCTTTTATAGTTTCATGGATCTATTGAAGCTAAACATTAACACCGTTGGATGCGGGTTCAGTGATCTAGGGGTTAAGAGTTCGAGTGTGAGATCGAAGATCCCAGGTTTGAGTCCCGCATGTATGGTTATGAGGTAACAGTGTTTAGGAGTCCCATACTAGGTCGAAACTGTTGTGACTTTAAGCTCGGCTAATTATCACATGATTTATTCGCAAAATAAACAATTTTAGTACTGGTGCCAAACCAAGACGTTCAACCGGTATGAGCAGCCTAGCGTCCTTATTAATCTTTTGTTCTCCTAATCCTTCCAAATCAATCAAGAACGCCAATAACAGCCCACACTATGCAAATCATTTATTTCAAACATACTTGGTTTATATACTAGCCAAACAGACAGCATCAAACCATAAAATAGGAAATTATGTTTATACAAGATCGAGCCAAAAATTGTCTATGAACCTGGGAGACTGTAATCAATAAACTGAACATAACTTAAGAATAGTAAATCGTATCATAATAGTCTATAGATCAAAATAAAACTTGTAATAAGAAGAGTATAGATGTACACAATCTAGTTACAATAAGGATATATATAATATTAGTCCATTAATGGTTACCCGTAATTTAACAGAAACGACCGTCCAGTACTCCCAGGTTTTCAATGGTGATCTAGCTTATATGGAATCATGAATTCAACTGTTAAAATCACTACAATATTCACAAAACTCTCCTTTCTAACAAAATTTTATGTTTTTAGTAGTTGCCAGGATTAGACGGAAAAGACAAAGTTATCATTATTGTGATTCGAAGTGTTACTGTCGTAGTCCCATGTACTTTAATTCACCTTTTTAATGACCATTTGTTTTATACAAAACTGTAAGTAACTTAGAAATTCACTTGATATTATTCCCGTTGATGTTTAGCACTGCCATTGATCAGTTCCTTATTAGCATATAAGCATCCTGTGCAAATCGCCCTCGATATTGCCTAAATTCACAAGCTTTATAAGCAAAGATGGATAGTGGCTAGCAATGGAATTCAGGACGCGCGTTATATGTAAGTGACAAGCGATTCCGACATAACATTTTGCAACGATCAGACATAACAACTGATGACTCAGTTATAATAGTCAACCAACAGTCATAACAATTATGCAAATCAAATGGTTGTTACATAATAACAAGATTTATTGTTATAACTATTGACCAACTCCAAAGTACTACTTATTATCTACCTTCAATCTACTTTCAACCTTTATAAGTAAATTTATTGGTAAGAATTCTATCATAAATATGGCTATATTTGATCTGATCAAGATCCAATCACTGGAGAAATATGTGAGTGCTACAAATACCTTCATTTAATGTCTGTATGTAGTTCATGTTTCAGTCATTAAGTTTTAATATATTAGCAGAACCATGCTTCGAGAGATCTATTCAACCAAACCCAACTAATCATGGTTAGACATTCATTAAACACCAAAAGGAACTGGTTAACCGGTCTGACTTGGAATGAGACTCTTTATCAATATCCTTCCATGACCCAACTGTCGCATCCCAGAGTAAAGTTCAAGCTCACACCTTGAAATATGATCGTTCTGGCCTAGATCTTCAATGGAGTTTGGGATGCCTACTCACAAGGAATTTCATAATAAGAATAAAAAGCTGTTTAGTTCTTCCTGCTTTCCAACAGTCTCCACAGATCCCTTAAAGTGATCAGTGGTATTTTTTCTGACTAAAATGTTCAGGAATTCAAGTTTAATGACCTCATCTATACATAATCTATACTCAATCATCTGTAGTTGAGATGCTATAATGAAATTGAGTTCATCTCTGGATTTATCTTTTTTCACAGTAATAACATAAATTTGGTAAAATTTTCACAGAAATCTGAACAAGGTCCAGCAGTCATCTGATTACCGCATTCACAAATAAAGGAACTTCTTAGTAATCCCATTTGTTGTAGCTGCTTATTTATCACCTCTTCTCTAAAATCCACTGTGAACTGATCGTACGTGAGCATCAGGCACTGAAATCGGCGCCGTGACCTTGAAATACCTGAAACACTTCCGATTGGCTCTTCCATAAACTATAGTCTTGCCCTTTCAAGATAACTGCTCAGTGATCTAAAGTTTGAGCACTAGACATGCAACCTGAAAAATTTCAGGTTCGATTCTCTGTGGTTAGCTCATATGTGTTCACTCTCATTGAATAATTCGAAGGTAGAACAAAACAGCTCTTCAATCCTTAATAGTTTTCAATGGTTATTTTTAATTACAATCAGTTCATGATGTAAACCTTAAAAATTCTATAGTCTTCACAAATCCCTTTTTATTTTCTAATACTGAAAGTAAGCAAACGTAAATTCAACATTTCCTTTATTTTATCAGTATGTGGTTGCAGAATTCATTATGTTTTAGATATTGAAATCATGAATTGATTGATGTTAGACGACTATTGAAAACTTGGAAGCACTGAACAGCCGTTTCGTCCTATTGTCGGACGCATCAACATAAGATGAAACAGCCATCCAGTACTTCGAAGCTTTCTATAGTCGTTGAACATTAATCAGTTCATGATCTCAATTACCTTTTATTATTTAACTTAACCAAAATAAACAAACAAATAGCCAAATATCCTTTATTAAAAAAATGTTACTTGTTTTTTTTTTAAATATTCCCTAACCTTGAATAATTTTCCAATGACCTTGAACGAACTCGTCTCCTGATTGGTCATTTGTTATAGCACATGTTATAATTAAGAATTTTTTTAAATAAAAAAATACAATAATTTGATTGGTCAATTGGTTTGTATAGATAATTAGATTGTGTAATAAAAACAATATTGATAATTGTACAAAACCATTTCAACAATGATAATGATTCAGTGAATAAAATGAATGTAAATCCGACACCACCACCACCATCATCACCACGACTACCCCTCCCCCCCGTCACAATGTATTCTAATTAAATAATATATGATTGTACAACATATCTGAAATAGGGTCTGATAAACCTAGTTACCCCTTTTATTTATATTATAAACTTTGAATGGAAAATGATCTTTCATGATAACACTATGACTGGAATTACTATTATTCAAAGATTAACACGAAATATGGATTTTAATAAATCTGAAAAGATCAATATTACTTATAATCAATATATATGTGAACAAATATATAAAGAAAGTAAGTTATCATTTACTGATTATGAATTGTTATAAACTTGTAAACTTGATACTTAGTAACTGTTTATAAGTAAAGATGAATGATGATTAGGAGATAAGTGAGCTGAATATACTTGTCATATCACAAAATTGATTTTCAGTCTAGGATTCAAATCTAGTGCCGTTCACTTCAATCGTTATCAAGTTATTCACTCGGCTTCTAAATCCAGCGTGGACAGAACAACACTATGGAAACTTCTTCGACACTACGGCGTGCCTCAGAAGATAGTCAATATCATACAGAACTCATATGATGGATTACACTGCAAAATTGTGCATGAAGGACAGTTGACAAAGTCGTTCGAAGTGAAGACCGGTGTTAGGCAAGGTTGCCTACTCTCACCCTTTCACTTTCTCCTGGTGATCAACTGGATCATGAGGACGTCAACGTCTGAAGGGAAGCGCGGGATACAATGGACATCTAAGATGCAGTTGGATGATCTAGTCTTCGCAGACGATCTCGCCCATCTATCCAAAACGCAACAACAAATGCAGGAGAAGACGAACAGTGTGGCAGCAGCCTCAGCAGCAGTGGGTCTCAATATACACAAAGGGAAAAGCAGGATTCTCCGATACAACACAGAATGCACCAATCCAATCACAATTGACGGAGAAAACTTGGAAGATGTAAAAACCGTTACGTATTTGGGCAGGATCATTGATGAACAGGGTGGATCTGATGCAGATGTGAAGGCGCGGATCGGAAAAGCAAGAGCAGCATATTTACAACTGAAGAACATCTGGAGCTCAAAGCAACTGTCAACCAACACCAAGGTCAGGATTTTCAATACAAATGTCAAGACAGTTCTACTGTATGGGGCAGAAACCTGGAGAACTACGAAAGCCGTCATCCAGAAAATACAGGTGTTTATTAACAATTGTCTACGTAAAATACTTCAGATCCATTGGCCGAATACTATTAGCAACAACCTACTGTGGGAGAGAACAAACCAGATCCCAGTGGAGGAAGAAATCAGGAAGAAGCGCTGGAAGTGGATAGGACACACATTGAGGAAAGCACCCAACTGCGTCACAAGACATGCCCTCACATGGAATCCTGAAGGTCAAAGGAAAAGAGGAAGACCAAAGAGCACATTATGCCGAGAATTGGAGATAGACATGAGAAGAATGAACAAAAATTGGATGGAACTAGAAAAGAAGGCCCAGGACAGAGTGGGTTGGAGAATGCTAGTCAGCGGCCTATGCTCCATTGGGAGTAACAGGCGTAAGTAAGTAAGTAAGTTCTAAATCCAGATGGCTTCTAGTTTGTGTAATGGAGTGAAGTTTTAATTCATATTTGTATTGTTTGTTTAAATTGTCAGATATATCCGGCTTATGAGTCTTAAATAGGACGAAATGTGCGTTAGAATTGATTCCACTGTTAATTATCATTCATTTTTGCTTGTAATGCTTGTGAATTAATTCACTATTGAGGTAGTCTACACAGGCCGCAGATATGCCAATAAGAGACTGAGACAAATAAATATTCTCAGAATGGGTTTTGTGGAGATTTTTAGAAACTTCACTGTTTGAAATCATGAGTCAATTGAAGCTAGACCACCATGGAAAACCTGAAAGTACTGGACGGCCGTTTCTTCCCAGTATGGGACTCCTCAGCAGTGCGCATCCGCGATCCCACCCCCGCGAGATATCAGTCTCGCGCACTGCCGAGGAGTCCCATACTAGGATGAAACAGCCGTCCAGTGCTTCCAGGCTTTCCATGGTGGTCTAGCTTCAATTGACTCATGATTTTAACCAGTGAAATGAATATTCAGTGTTAAAAGTAGAAAGATGATAAAAGTGCAAATGTTTTAACATTTTAATTTTGATAATCCAACCAAGATAAACTATTTATGAAAAATAGATTAAGATATAACTATTAATGGGATCTAATATGTGTTTCATCCTAAATTGGACCCATTAGTTGGATAAACCTGAATACGGGTTGATATTCACTCTGTGATTTGAAATCGGTTCGCTTTGATTCAAATGATTTACTTGACTTCTAAGAACAAATAACCATTCACTTGTTCAATATATGTGAATTTTAATTTAATTTGTACTAGCTTAAATCATTCCGTTGTTAATATTTTGACTGTTTGTTTGAAATATGAAGCCTAGAAGTAATGCCGATACAGAACCGCAAGAGAAAATAACTGGCTAATACTCTAGGACATTTTCCCAAACGATAGAACCATTTCTTATTCAACTAATATCACCTATCTATAAAAGTGTTTGAGTTATCGAGCATTTTACATTAAGAACTGTATTTAACCAGTCTCTATTAGTAAATGAACATCCTGAATAGATGGACTAGATATTTCCTTGAAGTACAAGTTTTACTAACATTGGACATTATTTGATATCGAGAAATAAACAGTAATTTCGTTCGATTCCAATAAAACAAAGTCATGGATTCTCATATGAGGTTGAACAGTTAGACCCCCACCTAGCTTTTGAACTAACCGGTTACCAGTATTCAGTTATTGTGTTTAGTTATCCGAATACTGATACTGATCATTAAGCTTCTTATATGGAATTCCAAATCAGCTACTGCAGTGAGAAAGTAATTTTACTTGACCAAAAACTGAATTTAAAATATAAGTACACTCATTCATAAACATGAATATATATATTTTTATCCTTTAGAAAATAAAGGAACATTTTCAGCGAATGACGTGTCTCTCCTTAGAAATTAAATTGAAATCTCGATCAATGACATGCTTTTAGCTTTTGGCATATTACTTCTCCTTTATGATAAAGAACAAACCCGGCTTCTTGTGTGCTTTTATAAGAATTAGAGTATGAATACATCATACTACAATGTACATTACTAGTTCATTGAACATAAGCTATGGAAAAGAAGTACTTACCTACACCTGTTACTCTCCAACGCACTCTTTCCTGGACCTTCCTTTCTAGTTCTATCCAATTCTTGTACATTCCTCTCATGTTTGTCTCTATCTCTCGGTGTAATGTATTCTGTGATCTTCCACTTCTCTTTTGGCCTTGAGGATTCCGTGTAAGGGCTTGGCTTGTGATGCAGTTGGGTGCTTTCCTCAATATGTGTCTTATCCACTTCCAGTGCTTCTCCCAGATCTCTTCCCCCGCCAGAATCTGGTTTGTTCTCTCCAACAATGGGTTGTTGTTGATAGTGCCTGGTTAACGGATCCAAAGTATTTTGCGTAGATAGCTGTTAAGAAATACTTGCATCTTCTGGATGATCGCTTTCATAGTCTTCTAAGTTTCTGCCTCATACAGTAGAACTGTCTTGACATTTGTATTGAAAATTCTGACTTTAGTGTTGGTTGACATTTGTTTTGAGTTCCAGATGTTCTTCAGTTGTAAATATAATGCTATTGCTTTACAGATCCGCTCCTTCACATCTGCATCAGATCCACCGTGTTCATCAATGATGCTGCCTAGATAATGTAAAGGATTTCAATAGTTGTCTAACTAAGATAAATACACAATATAAACGATGTACTTTGCCCTTAACCTAGACTTCTTTTCGGATTATTAATTTGGATATATAATTGTAGAACCTGAAGAGAATTTATCGAAAAGAATATGCTTCATTGAAATACTAGTCTTTGAATATGACGTGGATCTTTAAACAATTTTAATGAAACAGTTTAACAATTATCAGAAGGGGTTTGTGGAGATTTTAGAAATTTTCACAGGTTGAAATCATGAGTCAATTGAAGCTAGACCACCATGGAAAATCTGAAAGTAATGGACGGCTGTTTCTTCCCCGTACGGGACTCCTCAACAGTGCGCATCCACGACCCCGCACCACGCGGGGCTCGAACCCAGGGCGTACTGGCTTCGCGCGCGAGCACTTAACCATTAGACCACTGAGCCGGTATCCACCGGTGTTAATGTCTAACTTCAACCAATCCACGAAGTTGTGCCACCATATACCATTGTCTTCAGTGACAAATACTTTACATTTAACTATTTATAGATTGACCTGATATAATTAACCAATTTATATTGGACAATCATAAATAGTTCTCTTTTTTATTTCACTTATACACCAGATATAAGTTGATGATAATAAAATTCTGATATTCTTATATCTATTGAATTACCATCGGTCATGGATTCAATTACATTACAAAATAACCATTTTTTTTAAAAAAGAGCGAGTGCGCACGCACGTGTATGCGAGAAAGAGAGAAAGGGGGGGGAGGGAGAGATATGACTATCTGTTAAATTATCCATTTTTTCCCCTCTATACCTTAAATAGTCCCAGATGAATTATAAAGAACTTTTTTGTTATTATCATGATTTCTATGCTAATCAGTCATGAATAAAATAATCAATCATTTATGTATAACCCTAATCATTTCAATAAGGTCATCTGTATTTTTGAAAGAAAGAAAAAAACGAAAGAAGACAAAACAACAACAACAACATACATCGAGCACTACCAAATGTACTTTTTATCATAGTTACTATCGAATTGATTAATTTTGTCATAGAAAATGTAATTTATATTATTCATTTGTTTGTTTGTTTTCTTATAAGGATATGTGTTTAGAATACAGGTATAATTGACTGTATTTTGTTCTATTCTAGTGTAGTTGTTATGAGTTCTTTTAAAAAGAACAGTAGATTTTTTGTAAGTAATTATAATATCAATGATTAAGATCATGAGTCAGTTGAAGCTAGACCCACCATGGAAAACCTGGAAGCACTGGACGGCAGTGCGCATCCACGACCTCGCACCCTGCGAGATTCGAACCCAGGACCTACTGATTTCGCGCGTGAGCACTTAACCACCAGACCACTGAGCCAATAGGCATCCAACGGTGTTAATGTCTAACTTCAACTAATCCATGAAATTGAACGACACATCCATCATTGTCTTCAGTGAGTTACTATCTCACAGAAGATCTGGTTGAACTCCACTGGTCACTACTTGTAATAGTTGAATTCATGAGTTGATCTAAGGCT